TTGGTGTATAGGAATGCATGTGATTTTTGCACATTGATTTTGTATCCTGAGACTTTGCTGAAGTTGCTTATCAGTTTCAGGAGATTTGGGGCTGAGACGATGGGGTCTTCTAGATATACAATCATGTCGTCTGCAAATAGAGACAATTTGACTTCCTCCTTTCCTATTTGAATACCCTTTATTTCTTTTTCTTGCCTGATTGCTCTGGCTAGAACTTCTAGTACTATATTGAATAGGAGTGGAGAGAGGGCATCCTTGTCTAGTGCCACATTTCAAGGGGAATGCTTCCAGTTTCTGCCCATTCAGTATGATATTGGCTGTTGGTTTGTCGTAAATAGCTTTTATTATTTTGAGATACGTTCCGTCAATACCTAGCTTATTGAGGGTTTTTAGCATAAAGGGCTGTTGAATTTTGTCAAAGGCCTTCTCTGCATCAATTGAGATAATCATGGTTTTTGTCCTATTTATTCATTAATTCAACAAATATCTTTGAGAGGCTACCATGTGCCTGGCACTGTTCTAGGCAAAAGGGCCACATGAGTGAGCAGGACAAACATCCTTGCCTTCATAAAGGTACATGAGTAAGATGTGGGACAGATGAGAAAGCCAGGTGACGGCTGGAGAGGTGGACATTCCAGGCAGAGATGACAGCTGGCCCGTGTCCCCCACATCCAGGAAGTGGCAGGAAGGCCAGTGGGGCCGCAGCAGAGTGAACAAGCGGTGGGGGAAGAGGGCAGAAATATGGGGGAGCTTGCGAGTCACTGTCAGGACTTTAGATTTTTTACTCTGGCTCCACTGGGGAACTTTTGCAAGGTTTTGCATAGAGCAGTGATATGACCGGATCGCACTAAAAGGACTGCTTTGGCTGCTTGTTGAGAGTGGACAGATGGAGTGAGCAGAACAGATTGGAGGCTGGGGCTGTGGTCTAGGAAAGAAGTGACCTGGGCTGGGCCAGCCACTGTGGCACCAGGGAACAGCAGCTGTGTCTGGATGTATTCTGAAGGGGAAAGCCAGCTGGCTCGCCGCTTTCCTACTTTTGGAATTGTGGAAAAATACACATAATCATTTTCAAGTGCATAGTTCAGTGGCATTAAGTTCATTCACGTTGTACAACCATCACCACCTTCTATTTCCAGAACTGTTTCGTCTTCCCAATGTGAAACTGTCCCCATTAAACACTCGCTTCCCATTCCCCTTCCCTCAGCTCCTGGCAACCAGGAGCTGGTTCTATTCTTTGTCTCTGTGAATCTGGCTGCTCTAGGCCCCTCCTAGGAGTGGCATCATACAGTGATGGTTGCAACTGGTTGATTTCACTCAACATATCTTCAAGGTTTATCCATGCTGTAGCACGTGTCAGAATTTCCTCCCTTTTTGAGGCTGAATAATATTTCCTTGTATGGATATACTATATTTTCTTTATCCATTCACCTGTTGAAGGATGCTCGGCCTAAGTTTTCCTTTTGGCTGTTGTGAATAATGCTGCTCTGTACACAGGCGTACAAATATCTTCTTGAGACACTGCTTTTACTTTTGGGGGATATAAACCCGGAAGTGGAATTGCTGGATTCTCCTGATAGATTGTAAAGTTGATGTAGGGTAAGATTTCTGCTCATGTTAGCAGTGGGAGGAGTGAGATGAGATCTGATGGGCCCCCAAGGGATGAGGATTGAACATGGATCTCTTCTGGAGATAGCAGTTGGCTAGAAGGAGGTTCACATAGCCACATTTAAAACATTTTAAAAACCTTGAGACACGGACGTGCCCATTTAGATATTTCCTTATATAACATGTGAAATCCAAAGGAATGTCACTATTTTAAACTGATAATCAATGTTCTCTTAAAAGTTAAAAAGGCAAAATAAATGTGAAAGGCTAGTTTTACTGTAGCCAAACTCTGCTTTAATGGTTTCAGAATCTCAGACCTCTCAGAGGGTGATCAGTAAGGGCAAGCAGTCGTGATTTGCTCACTGCCAAGAAGCTGTCTGTGTCCTTGCTGATACCTGGAACCTTGCATTCCCAGTTACCTGCATTACCCAGGTAATGCCTGAGGCTCCAACCTGAGACACCTGTCCTCTCTGACACAGGGAGGGAGTAACTCTGGGCTCCTATCAGGGAAACTCCTCTAACATGGAAGACAAATATTCTTATCCCCATCTGACATTTGAAGAAGCCAAGGTTCCAGAAGGTTAGGTAGTGTTCCCAAATTCAAACCTAGGGTCTGACTCCGGAGTTCTTTGTTCTGCTACTCTGTTTTCCTCTAGTAGGGAGACTCATTTTCTTCCCCCATCATCTTTACGTGTTATAGAATTACTAGTACTGGTGACTAGCATTCTTTGCTCACTATGTGCTAACCACTGTTCTCAGTATGCAATGAATACAGTCTTCTTTAGTCTTTCCTACAATTCTGTTATCATTCCCATTTTATAGATCAGGGGACTGAGGCATCAAGAGATTGAGCAGACTGTCCAAGTCCATGCGAGACAAATATTGGGACCAGGACTTGCAGCTTCGGAAACAGAGGCTGAGAGAAAACCATGGATGGGTTGCCTTGTTGGGAGGAGACTAGAGGAAGGGAATGTTGGAAGTCTTGGAACTGAGAGGCCGGAAGGGGGGTAGGTCAGTTTCTTGGATGCTGTAGAAGGAGGAGCACCATGAACCAGGGACATTAGGGAATGGGGAGATGGGGGTGGGGGTCTGAAGATGGCAATAGGGAGGGGAAGAGGATGCCAGGTCTTGCTGCATGAACTGTGGAGATGGAGGGTGTCTGCTTACAGTGGGGAGGGGAACAGGCAGTGGGGAAGCAACAGTCATGAACATAAGGTACAGCGAGACCTTGGGTTTGGGAAATGTGAGAAAGGGAACAGACTGGCTTGGAAAGGCAGTGGTGGGATTCATCCAGCCATGGAAGTGAGGGGACATTCAGAGAGCTCAGCCTATGGGGAGTGTTGATTTCACTGTGAGTTCTGAAGGGCCCTGAAGAAGTGTTGGGGACTCAAGGAAGGGGCCTGGGGCAGATGTGGTCGAGTCCGTTTGGAGATAAGAACCTGCAAAATCACAGAGTGCCAGGAATGTGTTTGTTCTTGTTTTCATAATTTTAGACAGGTCATCTATCAAGGAATATAGTTTGTGATTTAAAAAAAAAAATTTCAGATTCGGTACAGATGCTCCTCCGGTTACTTCATTGGTTGCTTCCAGATAAACCCATCATAAGCTGAAAATATGCTAAGTTGAAAATACATTTAATGCACCTAACCTTCCAAACATCATCGCTGGGCCAGCCTGCCTTAAACATACCCAGAACACTCACATTAGCCTACAGTTGGGCAAAATCATCTAACACAGAGCCTATTTTATAATAAAGAGTTGAATATCTTATGTAATTTATTGTGTTAGGTTAGTGCAAAAGAGTAATTGTGATTTTTGCCATTTTAAAAATTGTAATTACTTTTGCACCAACCTAATTTACTGAAAGTGAAAAACGGAATGGTTGTCTGGGCACCTGAAGTACAGCTTCTACTAAATGCATGTCACTTCTGCATCACCTTAAAGTCAAAAAGGATAAGTCACACCATCATAAGTTTGGAACTGTCTGTATTTTCATTTTCTTCTATTTTATTCTGCATTTAATTCATTTTCACATTGTAGTGAGAACACTTAACATGAGATCTACTCTCTGAACACATTTTTAAGTGTGTAATTCAGGGGCAATGCTGCATAGCAGGTCCCTCAAGCTTACACATCTGTACCCACTGAACAACCTCCCTGTTCCCATGTCCGCAGCCCCCCTGTTCCCATGTCCACAGCCCCCATTCCCCTGTCCACAGCCCCCGTTTCCCTTTCCGCAGGCCCCCCACTCCCCCACCTGTCCCCCCACTCCCCCACCTGTCCCCCCACTCCCCCATCTGTCCCCCCACTCCCGTCTGCCCCCCCACTCCCCGTCTGTCCCCCCCACTCCCCCATCTGCCCCCCACTCCCCTGTCTGCCCCCCACTCCCCTGTCTGCCCCCCCGTCTGCCCCTTCCACTCCCCTGTCTGCCCCCCAACTCCCCTGTCTGCCCCCCCACTCCCCTGTCTGCCCCCCCCACTCCCCTGTCTGCCCCCCTACTCCCCTGTCTGCCCCCCCGTCTGCCCCCTCCACTCCTCTGTCTGCCCCCCCACTCCCCTGTCTGTCCCCCCCATTCCCCTGTCTGTCCCACCCACTCCCCTGTCTACCCCCCACTCCCCTGTCTGTCCCCCCACTCCCCTGTCTGCCCCCTCCATTCCCCTGTTGGCAGCTACCACTCTACTTAATCACACAGTATCCTTTTGTGACTGGCTTATTTTTCTTACCATAGTATCCTTCAGATTCATCCACGTTGGGGCATGTGTCGGAATTTCCTTCCTTTTTAAAGCTGAATAATATTCCATTGTCTGGATAGCCACACTTTGTTTATCCGTCGTATGTGGATGGACCAGGAGTGGCTTTCAGTTTCTGGTGGTGTTGTGGCCCTGCATTGCCCAGGAGTATATGATTTAGTCAGGGCTTTGGAGTGGGGCCAAGGGTTTTCTGTGGCTTTTCTGTGTTGGCACAAGGTGCAGTGCTGGTTTGGGGATGGCAGCTTTCCTGGGTCCTCCCTGGGTGCCTGTGGTACAGACATCTGGGAGCTCTCTCTGCACCTCCCCAACAATACCGACATCTTTGCCAGTTCTTTTCATCCAGAACCCAGTAGCCTCTCCAGTTCTCCATGTCCTCTCTTCGTTTTTCGGCTTTTCCCCTAAAGTTTGCTTATTTCCCTCCTCCCTCTTTCCCCTCTCTCCTCCTCTCCCTTCCTTTTTGTTGAGTTTATACCTTTGATCATGCCTTCCCTCCCTCCTTCCCTTCCTTCCTCCTTCCCTCCCTCCCTCCCTTCCTTCCTCCCTTCCTTCCTTCCTTCCTTTTTGTTGAGTTTATACCTTCATTTATACTTTTATTCCTATTGTGAATGGGGTTCTTTATTCATTATAGTTTTTTCTTTTTTAAAACAAAATATAGATTATTTCATAACTTTGAATGTCATCTTTACACAGGAACCAGGCTAATCTCTGTACCATTCCAATTTGGGTATTAGCACTGTCATTGACTGTTTTTTTTTTTGTTTTTTTTTTTTTTGTTTTTTTTTTTGAGACGGCGTTTCGCTGTTGTTACCCAGACTGGAGTGCAACGGCGCCATCTCAGCTCACCGCAACCTCCGCCTCCTGGGTTCAGGCAATTCTCCTGCCTCAGCCTCCCGAGTAGCTGGGACTACAGGCGCGCCCCACCATGTCCAGCTAATTTTTGTATTTTTAGTAGAGACGGGGTTTCACCTTGTTGACCAGGATCGTCTCGATCTCTTGACCTCATGATCCACCCGCCTCGGCCTCTCAAAGTGATGGGATTATAGGCATGAGCCACTGCGCCCAGCTGTGACTGTATTTTTAAATTAGATACTTTAAAAATATTTAGTTTGGAAGTGGCTTGCTCCCTTACCATCCTCTCTTCTTAGCACTAACGGTTTTCAGCCGATTCTTGGGTGTCTTCCAAGCGGACAGTTATATCAGCTGCAGGTAAGGATGCCTTTTGTCTCCTCCGTTCCAGTAGTTCTTGCTGTTTTGTGTGTCTTACCCTAGTTGTGTTAACTGCTAGTGACATCCTTGACTTGCTCTCACTTTACTGTGGGCGATTTTGGTGTTTGTCATTAAATATGACGCAGAAAGTTGGCTTGGGGCATTGTTTTACATGTTAAGTCCTCTCTTCCTATATTCCTTTGAGTTATTAGGATTTGTTGATGGGTTTTATTAAATGCCTTCTAGGCATTCTGTTATTACTTTGATTATTGCTTCTCTTTTTACCCTGGCGTCTCCTCCAGGAAATTAAAGTATGTGTGTATTTGGTCTCCTGAGTATATCTTCTGTATCACATATTTTCTCTGATTCTTGTGATCACTTTCATTCATGCTCTGATTTTAAAAAGTTTATCATCTAATATGCTTTGCTCTGTATGTTTCCTTTCTTCAACTATTGTGTTTTTAATCTTTAGTCTAACTTATCTGACTGCAAATTATTTCTTCTTCATGCCCTGTTGCTCAAATTTCATAGGCATAAAATCTTGAATTTCAGTGAGAGTGCAAATTGGAGATTTTTCTGAAATCTCCCATTTCTACCAGTAACTTTGTTTCATAAGTGCCTATTTACTTGGAATCTTCAGATGGTCCCCCTTTTATGATCTGCTGGAGCTCTCCAGATAGTTCTAGAGAGTTTTCTGTGATCACCTTTTTTTATAGAAGGAAGCTTGTGTTTGTCTAAGTCAGAAATTGAGAGGGATGCTACTGGAGAATGTGTGGTTATCAGATCATCTCTCTCTCTCTGTCTGTCTGTCTCGCTCTCTCTGTCTTTCTCTCTCTCTCTCTTTTTTTTGGTAGGCCCTCACTCTTTTGCCCAGGCTGAAGTGCAGTGGCGTGATCATAGCTCACTGAATCCTCAGCCTCCCGAAGTGATGAGATTATAGGCATAAGCCACAGCGCCCAGCCAGGTCATATCATTTATGCTCAGTTGAAGGAAGAAGAAAAAATTTTGCATCATCTGGGGTGAAAGTAAGGAGGGCACTAAAGGGTAAAGTGCAATTTTGCCATTTTTTTCTTTTCTTTTCTTTTCTTTTGTGTATTTTGTTTTTGTTGTTCTCATTGTTACTTTAGTGCCTGCTGGAAGGTGGCCTTGTCCTCCCCTTCTGCTTGCAGGATGGCCGCTGTTCTTGTCATCTGGCCATGGCTGTTTCCCTTGTGTGGCCTTCTGTGCATGCAGGCAAGGAGAAGGAAGCACTAGCAGGCTTTCTGAAGCTACTCGTGTCAGAGGCCTCAACCTAGCAGTCCAGTTACCCTTTTACATGATGATTATTCTGTAATGTGCCCCTTTAATACCCTAAAATGAAATTCACCAGTCCATATATATCACTGAAAAAAATCAACATAATGCCCTACCTATAATGTAGAGAAGAAATAAAAGGCAAACAGTTTCTAATAAAGTGACATCTCAGTGTGTAGTCGCCGGAGCCTGACCCCACTAGAAGACCGATAGGTGCTTGTGCATTGGTGGAGATGGCTGTGTGTAAGCATGAGTGCTGCAAATGAGACTGACTCACGGGTGCAGTGTTGAGAATTCAAATACCAGGCAGTGTTGACATCAGTGACTTTGAAATGCTGACAGCTCAGGCTAAACGTTTTGAATAAGTCAAAGTACTGTCTTTCCTTAAGTTACATGTTAGTTGCATTCCTAGAATATCAGTGTATAATAGTAATGCTGTGTAAAACTGCTTTGTGTTTCTCTGTAAAACAGAGTTAGATTCTGGACGTAGGTTTTATAAACCATGTTCTCCCCTTCACGAGTGCTGTCAGATCACAAGGAGAGAGGAGGGAGGCAGGACGTAGGCATGGCCCTCATATTTGCAAGGCTTGAGGCAAGAGTGTAGTGGGGACCATCTGTTTATTCACAACGTTCTGATATAATTAAATATTCTAGTAAAGGAGATCAAGTGTCAGGGATTTCAGATGACCTGGTAGGCTATACATTTAATCACAATAATTTTCTTACTCGTTTTCATTTTTTTCTCAGTAATGGGTGAATTTTATTTTTTCTTCTTAAGTTCCCCTTAGTTCTACTTTAGTATTTTCTCATTTTTATGACTTTGCAATTTGTAATTCTTCTCAAAGATTAAAAAGAAAGTAATGATATTCAAATATAATTTTTAAATAATTTTTCTTCAAAATATATATTAAAGTCAGTATAAAGGGTGAGATATATTTCATGTTTTTTAATTTTTTAATTTAATTTTTTATTTTTAGAGACAGCGTCACACTCTGTTGCGCAGGCTGAAGTATAATGGTGTGATCATGGCTCACTGCAGCGTCAAACTCCTGTCCTCAAATAATTCTCCTGCCTCAGCCTCCAGAGTTGCTGGGACTATAGGCATGCGCCACGATGGCTGGTTAATTTTTAAGAAATGTTTGTAGAGACAGGTACTCACTATGTTGCCTAGGCTGGTCTTGAACTCCTGGGCTGAAGCCTTCCTCCCATCCTGGCCTCCCAAAGTGCTGGGATTACAGGCGTGAGCTTCCATGCCTGTCCTGTTTTGTAAAAATTTAATTAAATGTATTAATATTTCATGTTTTTTATTTTGCAGTAATTGTAGATTCTTCACATGCAGTTGTAAGAAATATTACAGGTAGATCCCCTGTACCCTTTACCCAGTTTCCCGCACTGGCGACATCTTGCCAAATGATAATATAATATCACAACCAGGATATTAACATTGACATCATGACGTTATAGAACATTTCCACCACCAGAAGGGTCCCTCATATGACCTCATATGACCCCTTGATAGCCACACCCACTTCCCTCTCCCTACCCCCTTTTAGCCCTTGGCAGTCACAATAGTTTGTTTTTCATTCCTATCACTTTGTTATTTCAAGAATGTTATGGAAATGGAATGGTGCACACAAAAGCGTATACACTTTTGGGATTGGCTTTTTTTCACTCAGCATAATCCTCTGGAAATTCATCCAGGTTGTTACATGTTTCAAAGTTTGTTCCTTTTTTATTTCTTCCTGTATTTCATGGTAGGGATGCACCACGGTTTGTTCAACTGCTCACCTGTTGAATCTGAGTCATTGCCAGTTTTATGCTGTTATGAATAAAGCTGTTATAAACATCATGTACAATTTGTGTGAACATTTTGTGCGAGCATTTCTCCGGGGAAGATGCCCAGGAGAGCAGTTGCTGGGTCACAGGGTAGTTGCGTGTTTAGTTTTTTCAGAAATTGCCAAATTGTGTTTGCAGTGTGACCGTATCATTTTACGTTCCCACCAGTAACCTGCAACTGATCCAGCTTTTCTGCATCCTCGCCAGCATTTGGTATTGTAGTGACGCTTTTTTATTTTAGCCGTTGGGATAGTTGTGTCATGACGGTTGTCCTTTTTTAAGTTTGCATTTTCCTAATGGTTTTTGGTGTTGAACATGTTCTCATGTGCTTGTGATCTGTACACCCTCTTCAGTGAAATGTTTATTCAAGTTTTCTGCCCATTTTCTAATTGGATGCCATGATTTTTTTCTAACTGTTGAATTCTGAGTTCTTTATATATACTAGAAACTAGTTCTTTATTGGATATGTGGTCTGCAAATATGTTCTTCCAGTTTCTCTTTTATCTTTTCAACCTTGTAACAGGGTTGAAGTACTATAAATACTACTTCATAAAGTAAATTGGGAAGTTTTGTTTTTTTCTGGAAGAAATTAGGTAAAGTTTATGTTAATTCTTCATTAAATATTTGGTAGAATTCTGAGTGAAATCTTCTGTGCTTAGAGGTTTTCTTTTTTTTTCTTGGTGTGAAAGGGTGAGTTTAAAAAAATTTCAAATTCAAATTTCCCTAATTGTTATAGGGCTACTCATATTACCTGTTTCATATTGAGTGACTTGTATTTTTCAAGCAGTTGGTCCATGTCTTTTGTCAAATTTTATGTGTGTAGAGTTATTCATAGTATTCTCCTTTATCCTTTAGAGTCTGTGGGGTCTGTGGGGTCTGTGGTGATATTCCTAGTTTCATACCTGCCATTGGTACTCTGTATTTTCCTTCTCTTTTTTTTTTTTTTTTGTCAGAGGTTTGTCAATTTTATACATTTTTTTCTGAACCAGCTATTTGTCTCCCTAGTTTTTCTCCGTTGTTTTTGTTTCCCATTTCACTGAGTTCTGCTCTTCTTTATTATTTCCTTATGTGAAAAATAGCTAGTCTTACCCATCTCCCACAGTGTAAGAATTAAGAGAAATGACAGTATAGGTTTTTTTTGTAAAATGTGATTTCCCTCCCTGAACTATCTCCCTTAATGGAATCTCCTACTTAGGAATCATGGCAGTTAAAAAAACAAACAAACAAACAAAAAAAAAAAAAACCTACCTGCCTTAGTGCGGAGCATCTTGCCCAATGTTTCAACCTTTGCTTTCTTAAGATTTTTCTTTTTTTAAAAGTCACACTTGACTCATGTTACGTCTAGGTTTACATATACATAAATTTGAGACGAATCAGAATACTCCTCGGCCACCATGGCTCCTGCTGCAAAC